GCACCCCTGTGTGTGCCCCTATGTCTGCCCTTGTGTGTGCCCGTGTGTGTGCCCCTGTGTGTGCCCGTGTGTGCCCGTGTGTTTGCCCATGTGTGTGCCCCTGTGTGTGCCCGTGTGCGCCCCTGCACAGCAAGTCCTCACGTGTGCCTGCGAAAGGCAAGACCTTCGCCTTGTCTGGGGGCAGAGTGTGTGCAGAGCGCAGGGAGCTGGGCAGCGGAGGAAGTGGGGGAGGGTGCCCTCAGGGGGCTCCTGCGCTTGCAGGGGGGGGGGGGGGGGCTGGCATGGGGTAAGGACACACACGGCAGAGCTCTCGGTGGCCTGGCTCTCCCTGAAGCCACGTGTGAACACCAGAACCACGGTCAGCACGGGCAAGCCGAGGTCGCCAAGGGCGAGCCAGCAGCACGGGGTGGTGAGCAGCCGTGGGTCACACGTGCTGTCCTTCACCAGATGCAGAGGCGGTGGGCCCAGAAGCAAGGGTGGAAGCCAGGCTGCGGGCGTGCTGAGCAGCTGCCGCCAGGGGGCGCTCCGGGCCCGCAGGCCGGCTGGGTGCCGGCGGGCAGTACCTTTGGTGATCTCCCGGTTGTCGCTGAGGCCGCCGCAGAGGGAGATGGCGATGGACGGCAGGTCCCTCAGGCCGTCCGAGGTGCTCTCCACGCCACTGTCGGCGCCAGAGCTGCCCACGGACTGCGGGGACTGGTTGGCTGACCGGGCCCCGTTGTCGGCATGTTTGGGGAGCCCGGCAGAGTCCCCGCTGGAAGGAGGAAGGGGGGAGGTGTTCTGAGGATTTTCCCGGCCTGGGGTCTGTCTCTCTCTCTCTCTCTCTCTCTCTCTCTCACACACACACACACGCACACACACACACACACACACACGTAAAAGGACGTGCAATCCAAGACACCTCACCCCATCCTGAAACGGACTTTCATTAAAACACCACCCCAGCCAAGACCGGTATTGCTCAGTGGATAGAGCGTCGGTCTGCGGACTGACGGGTCCCGGGTTCAGTTCTGGTCAGGGGCATGTACCTTGGTTGTGGGCACATCCTCCGTAGGGGGTGTGCAAGAGGCAGCTGGTCGATGTTTCTCTCTCATCAACGTTTCTAGCTCTCTATCCCTCCCCCTTCCTCTCGGTAAAAAGTCAATAAAATCCACTTAAAAAATTTTTTTTTTAATCACCCCAACCAAGGCCAGCTGGAAACGTTCCGAGCAGAGAGCTCCATCCGCTTCTGCCTCCCACCTCTCCCGCAGCCCCCCCCCCCCCACACACACACACACACACACGGAGAGACAGGGGACCGAGCACACTCCTGAGCCCCAGCTCTGGGCTTCGCCCTCCGTGGGCCTGGCCTTCCCTGCAAATCCCCGGAGAACCGAAGACGGGCCGGACCCTCCCGGGAGAGAGAGGGCCGCAGCTGCTGCCTCTGCCCCGAATCGGGCCGGGGGTCACCAACCACCACACCCTCCACATCATGGGGAGACAGCCTCCCGCTCCGACGGCGGCCGGCCAGCACCCGGAGGTGCCCGCCCGCCCGCCGCGCCCACACAGAGAGCCCGCCCATGGGGCGCCGGCCCGCTCCCCCCATCAGACGGAGGACGGCGTGAGCCCGCCCGGTCCCCATCCCGTCGGCGGGCACAGGTGGGGGGGCGGGGGGGAGGAAGAGGAGGCTCACTTCCTGGGGAAGTACAGGGCGGCCATTTCGGGGTCCATGTCTGTGAGGTCGTCCAGGTAGACGCCGTCCGCCCCGAGGTGCCGGCTTCGTTTGTCTGCAAACCAAGGAGCCAAGGAGCAGCGGGTCAGAGCCGTGCCCGGGGACTCCCGACCTCTGACCTCCGACCTCTGACCTCCCAGTGCCCCTGGGGAACACACTGAAGCCCGGTGTGCGGAGCTCAGAAGGGCCCGGGATGTGAAATGAGGGTTCACCACGTGGCCCCCCAAAACCCCCTTCACGCCTCACTGTCCACCACTAAATTCTCCTAACACAGCGGTGGGCAAACCCATCGGTCCACAGAGCCAAAGGTCAACAGGACCGCGACTGACATCTCTTTGGAGAGCCACATTTTTTAAACTCAAACTTCTTCTCATGCCACGTCTTCAACACAGACTCGCCCAGGCCGTGGTGTTCTGTGGGAGAGCCACACTCCAGGGGCCAGAGAGCCGCACGCGGCTCACGAGCCGCACTTTGCGGACCACGGTCCTAACATATTTGGCAAAAGGGCAGGGAGTGGACAGGACGGGTGTCCCGGGTCCGAGCCCTGAGCTCTGAGGGCAGGCCCGGGCGGGCAGCGGGCAGGGCACGGAAGGGGCGGGCGCCGGCCTCGCCCGCACACACCTTTCTTCCTGGACGGCGAGTCCGTCTTGCCGGCCGCGGCGGCGGCGAGGGCTCGGGGCTCCTCGGGGGCGGGCGGGGCCGGGGCGGCGGCCCCCAGGGCCTCCGCGTCCTCCTGGTTCACGAACTGCATCTCGGCGGGCGGCGGGCTCTGCTCCGGGGGCGGCCGCGGGGGGGGCGCCTCGGCCTGCGGCTCCGGCTCCGGCTCCGGCTCCGGCTCCGGCTCCGGCTCCCGGAAGGCCCCGGCGGGCTCGCTGTGGATGGCCTGAAAGTGCACCTTCTCCGAGAACTTCCTGCCGCTCGAGTCTTTCATCTTGTGTGTCGCCTGGAGGGGAGGGCGGGCGGGAGGGGCGGGAGGGTCAGGGCACAGGCGGGAAAAGCAGGTCAGCAAAGAACCCGGGGCCGGTGAGGACCCACCGCCGTCCACGCCCGGGGCTCCAGCGCGGGGTCACCCGGCGGTCCGCCCCTGCCGAGGGCCCCGAGACCAGGAACAGCCGTTCCCAGGAAGAGGAACCGTTACTTAAACACCGACTGCCCAGAAAGAAGCTCACTACAGACCGGTTCATCTGCCTCTCAGCATAGCGATTACTGCTTGTCTCATCTTTGATTCTTATAAGTGTATTTCCAGTAGGACATGATCTCACTCATCTGGGGGGAATGGTGAACAACACAGACTGATGAACGAGAACAGACCCAGAGATAAGGAGCCGGGGGTCAGACTGTTGGACCTCAGAGGGAGGGTGGGGATAAAAGGGAGAGATCAACCGAAGGACTTGTGTGCGCACATAGGAGCCTAGCCAGTGGTCAAGGACAATAGGGGGTGGGGGCAGGCATGGGGGGGGTTGGAATGGGGGGTTGAGGACAAATATGTGATACCTTAATCAATAAAGAAATTGCTTTAAAAAAATAAAAATTAAAAAATAAACACCAACTGCCGAGCAGAGAGAGGGAGACTGGTGATGGCCAGCAGGGGGCAGCAGCCCAGATGTGTGGCCGCGGGGCATGCTGCCGGCCTGAGCCTCAGTTACCAAGGACCTGAGGAGCGTGTGTGGCCAGCCTCTGCTGCTGGAGGCAAGACCTGGTCTGCCCCTGCGGGGGGTCAGCGTGAGCAGCCACTGCAAGGTGGGGGCTTCCAGGGGGTCCCCGCTCCTGGTCTGGGTTCGAGTCACATGGCCACGCTCACCGGGAAATGCATGGACCCCAGCACTTGCCATCAGGGCATTCCCGTGTGTGTGTGTGTGTGTGTGTGTGTGTGTGTGTGTGTATGTGGGGGGGGGGGGGCTGCCTGGGTCAGCAGTCTGCAGGCAGCAGAGTCAGCACTTCCCGTGACAACAGCTAAATATAGCCCCCGAGGGCTTGGCCAGCGTCAGCCCAGCCGCCTGCTGGCCACACAGTGCCCTCCTGGTCTCAGCAGGGAGGCCCGCCTGCTGGCCACACAGTGCCCTCCTGGTCTCAGCAGGGAGGCCCGCCTGCTGGCCACACAGTGCCCTCCTGGTCTCAGCAGGGAGGCCCGCCTGCTGGGCACACAGTGCCCTCCTGGTCTCAGCAGGGAGGCCCGCCTGCTGGGCACACAGTGCCCTCCTGAGCCTCAGCAGGGAGGCCCGCCTGCTGGGCACACAGTGCCCTCCTGGCCTCGGCAGGGAGGCCCGCCTGCTGGGCACACAGTGCCCTCCTGGTCTCAGCAGGGAGGCCCGCCTGCTGGCCACACAGTGCCCTCCTGGCCTCGGCAGGGAGGCCCGCCTGCTGGGCACACAGTGCCCTCCTGGCCTCGGCAGGGAGGCCCGCCTGCTGGGCACACAGTGCCCTCCTGGCCTCGGCAGGGAGGCCCGCCTGCGCTCACGCCACCCATCCCTGCGGGTCCCAGACATTCACTGGGGGTTCGAGAGGCCGCGGCTTCTCCCCGGGGCCCTCACACTCCGTGCAAACACACAGCCTGGAACACAGCACATCCGGGTTCTCAGCACACACTGGCCTGTGGGCAAGGTTTCCTGGGAGGAAAACTGTCTGTTGCACGGTTTTAGGGGCGGCTGGCTGAGGGGCCGGAAGTGGGGGCCGGAAGCGGGGCACGCACCTTGGCGGCCTGGGGCAGCTCCCCCCACAGCCACAGCATCTCCAGGTTGCTCTTCTGCGCCGCCCTGTCCGCCGACTTGCTGACCAGCTCGGAGTCGCTCTTAGGTGTGGAAGGCCGGGAGCCTGAAGGACTTAAACACAAACCCACGATGAACGCTTTTCTGCGTGAGGGACTGGTTACCGGTTAACAGAGGGACTGGTTACCGGTTAACAGAGGGACTGGTTAGCGGTTAACAGGGTGACTGGTTAGCGGTTAACAGAGGGACTGGTTACCGGTTAACAGAGGGACTGGCTAGCAGTTAACAGAGGGACTGGTTACCGGTTAACAGAGGGACTGGTTACCGGTTAACAGAGGGACTGGCTAGCGGTTAACAGAGGGACTGGTTACCGGTTAACAGAGGGACTGGTTACCGGTTAACAGAGGGACTGGCTAGCGGTTAACAGAGGGACTGGTTACCGGTTAACAGAGGGACTGGTTAGCGGTTAACAGAGGGACTGGCTAGCGGTTAACAGAGGGACTGGTTACCGGTTAACAGAGGGACTGGTTACCGGTTAACAGAGGGACTGGTTACCGGTTAACAGAGGGACTGGCTAGCGGTTAACAGAGGGACTGGTTACCGGTTAACAGAGGGACTGGTTAGCGGTTAACAGAGGGACTGGTTACCGGTTAACAGAGGGACTGGCTAGCGGTTAACAGAGGGACTGGCTAGCGGTTAACAGAGGGACTGGTCAGCGGTTACCAGGCGTGGAGGGTGAGTGAGGAGCTGGCTGTGGGGACGCCGTGTGGGGCGGACGGCTACCTTTCGGGAGCCTGCAGGACGGACGACTGCGGAGGGCAGGAGCTGGAGAGCAGGCCCTCGGCCGCCACCGCCATGTGAGGGGGCGTCCGTCTGCAATCCAGCGGGCTACTGGGTGCCGGGGACACACGTGGAGAGAGAAAAGGTCACAGGTCAGTGATCTGAACCCAAACCTCCTGCCCGTCCCGTCCTGGACCGCCGTCAGGGGTCCCCTGGGAAGAGGCAAACTCCCGGGCCCCGGCCCGCAGCCAGCTGCTCTGTTAACGTCGCTGAGAAACCAGCAGGAGCCCCAGCTGGTGTGGCTCAGTGGATAGAGCTTTGGCCTGCGGACTGAAGGGTCCTGGGTTCGATTCCGGTCAAGGGCATGTGCCTTGGTTGCGGGCACATCCCCAGGGGGGGGGTTGTACAGGAGGCAGCTGATCGATGTTTCTCTCTCATCGATGTTTCTAACTCTCTCTCCCTTCCTCTCTGTAAAAAAAATCAATGAAATATATATATATATATATTTTTTTTTAAAGAAGAAGAAAGAAATCAGCAGGAGCTCTTTGAGCCGCAGAACAGGAAGCCGCCCGGGGCCCAGCGCCCCTTCCGTCTCATCCACGTGGCCAGGAGGCGCTGCTCCCCGCGGCTGAGCCCGCCCCCCCCTCTCTGGGGCGTGCGGTCTGTGCGCCGCGGCTGCCTCCGTGAGGAGCGCCCACGGTGCCACGAATGGGAGTGTGTCCCCTCACCCGCACTGGCCATGCCACCGACAGCGGGCGGGCCCTCCTACGCTGACACGGTCATCACCCCGGACTCGCAGAGGAAAACGGAAAAGAGGAAACCTCTCTGGGGCTGTGTCTGAAACACCTAAATCCTCCCTGGAACGAACACCACCCGCTGGTGTCCAAACACCCCATATTTCCTCCCCGAGTCCCTCTGGGGGGCTCATCGCCAGGGACCCAGGAGAGTGTCTGAGGCCCGGGGACGGGACCCGCCTCGCTGTCCGACAGGAGAGCCGCCGGCTGCCGTGGCGGCCGGCCACGTGAACGGAGCTGTCCGTGTGAGAGACACACGACTTCACAGGCCTACCACCACACAACATGTGACGGAGCTCAGGAAGACTGCTCTTAAATGCACCGAGTGGCCAGAGGATGATGATCTCTGAACATATAATAATCTGGCCACTCAGTGTGTGTGTGTGTGTGTGTGTGTGTGTGTGTGAGGTCTGGTGCATGAATTCGTGCATGAGTGGGATCTGGCCAGCCTGGCCAGGAGGAAGAAACATGGGTGGTTGGCTTGCCTGCCTGCTGGTCAACCTCCTGGCTGAGGGGTCAATTTGCATATTAGCCTTTTATCATATAGAATATGCACTGAGTGGCCAGATTATTATGCATTCAGAGAGCATAATAATCTGGCCACTCTGTATATATTTATTGATTTCCGAGAAGAAGGGAGAGGGAGGGAGAGAAACACCAATGACAGCGGCCTCCTGCACGCCCCACACTGGAGGGATGGAGCCCGCAATCCAGGTGTGTGCCCTGACTGGGAATCGAACCGGGGCCTCCTGGTTCACAGGTCGAAGTTCAACCACTGAGCCATGTGGGCCGGCCCATTAATAGTGTTTTTAAAAGCTGACTATCTGACATGCTTTTCTGGATACACTGGGCTGGATGAAATGCATCATGGAAGTTCGCCTGCTCAGTGTCCTTCTACTTTTCTAGGATGGCTGCTAGAACGTTTTCATTTACGTCTGTAACTAGCACCATGCTACTGTCAGATGGGACAGACAGACCGACCTCAGGGAGGGGACTTTCCCGGCCCCAGCTCCACCCTGGCTGCCGGTGACTGACATTCACGGTCCCAGTCCCGGCTGGACACCAGGATGCGCCTGTTCCCCCTGACCTGCAGCTCAGGCTCAGCACCCCCGCCTCCTCCCCCCTCACCGTGCAGCACACGCACGCATCACACGGGTGAGAGTGGGACCAGGACTGTGAGTGCGGGAAACGGGCGCAGGCAGGAAGGTAAATCTCCGGGCCTGGAGGTAAATCTCACAATCTCACATGAAGATCGAGAACAGCCCGGCCCAGGGGCGGGCGGAGGGGGTGTGGTTGGGTGTCATCCTGTGAACCTAAAAGGTTGCCAGTTCGATTCTGGTCTGGGAGTGCAGAAGGCAGCTGATTGATGTTTCGCTCTCACATTGATGTTTCTCTCTCTCTCTCTCTTCTCTCTCTCTCTCTCTCTCTCTCTCTCTTTCTCTCTCAGAAAATAAATAAAAAGAAGAATAATTCAAGTTGTCATTCACTATCACTTAGATGGCTCCTTCTCCACCTCTTCCTCACTGTCGCCACCCCAGGAGCATCTGGGACATTTCCCCTGACAGCGCTCCCTGGGAGGTGAGGTTTTAATGCCTGTGTGTGTCCCGGGGGAGGTGAGAGGGGCGATATCCAGGGAAGCTGTGTGTGTGCTGTGGCTCTCAAGAACCAATTATCGGCCGAAACCAGTTTGGCTCAGTGGATAGAGCGTCGGCCTGCGGACTCAAGGGTCCAGGGTTCGATTCCCGTCGAGGGCATGTACATTAGTTGTGGACATATCCCCAGTGGGGGGTGTGCAGGAGGCAGCTGGTTGGTGTATCTCTCTCATTAATGTTTCCAGCTCTCTATCCCTCTCCTTTCTTCTCTGTAAAAAATCAATAAAATATATTAAAAAAAAAAAAACAATTATCGCCCCGACGGCCGCTATGGCCCCTGCTGCAGTGACATGATGCGGTGGGGTGGTGCGGTGGGGTGATGCGGTGGGGTGGTGCGGGGGCGTGGTGGGGTGATGCGGGGGCGTGGTGCGGGGGGGTGGTGCGGTGGGGCGGTGCGGTGGGGCGGTGCGGTGACGTGGTGCGGTGGGGTGGCGCGGTGGGGTGGCGCGGTGGCCCCTGCTGCAGTGACATGATGCGGTGGGGTGGTGCGGTGGGGTGATGCGGTGGGGTGGTGCGGGGGCGTGGTGGGGTGATGCGGGGGCGTGGTGCGGTGGGGTGGTGCGGTGGGGCGGTGCGGTGGGGCGGTGCGGTGGGGCGGTGCGGTGGGGCGGTGCGGTGGGGCGGTGCGGTGACGTGGTGCGGTGACGTGGTGCGGTGACGTGGTGCGGTGGGGCGGCGCGGTGGGGCGGCGCGGTGGGGCGGCGCGGTGGGGCGGCGCGGTGGGGCGATGCGGTGCGGTGGTGCGGGGGCGTGGTGGGGTGATGCGGTGGGGTGGTGCGGTGGGGTGGTGCGGTGGGTGATGCGGTGGGTGATGCGGTGGGGTGGTGCGGTGGGGTGGTGCGGTGGGGTGGTGCGGTGGGGTGATGCGGTGGGGTGATGCGGTGACGTGGTGCGGGGGCGTGGTGGGGTGATGCGGGGGCGTGGTGCGGTGGGGTGGTGCGGTGGGGTGATGCGGTGGGGTGATGCGGGGGCGTGGTGCGGTGGGGTGATGCGGTGGGGTGGTGCGGTGGGGTGATGCGGTGGGGTGGTGCGGTGGCGTGATGTGGCTCTGCCCCTCCCGCTCTGAAAGCTGCCCCCGCTGGAAGCCCAGCCGACACGTGCGCTCACTTCCAGGAAATAAGACCCTGAACTGGGCGAGAGCCTGAGCTGGGAGAAGGGAGAGGCGGTGGTCCCCCGGCCCCGGTGGCCCTGACGCAGCCTCGCAGTGTGCACCTCACTGCGGAGACAGGAAGGCCGTCCCCTGACCTACTCCAACCTACCTCCTCCTCCTCCTAACTCACTCCCCTCTTCTGTATGTTCCTATTCTACAGACCCTCGGGGCCAGGACAAGCGGGCACACGCAGTGCACACACGCGCACACACACACGCGCACACACACACGCACCAGCGCACCTGGCGTGGGGTGACCACTCTCTGTCAGAACCAGGGTACGATGATGACTGAAAATAAGGCGTGACTGGGGGCAGGTTCTCCTTGGGAACATCTTCTTGGAAGGGCGGCATGTCGTTATTAAGAGTTCTGGTCAGGGGGAGAGAGAGAGAGAGAGATTAAAGTCAAAAGGACAGAGCCATCACAGAGGCAGGGTCCGTTTTCAAACGCGTCCAGGGGGCGGGGACCTAAGAACCGCATTTAGAAACCGGCCGCCGGCCTCCGGCCGCTCCCCACGCCCGCCCGCACCTGCCGCCCGGGGGGTCCCGCTCCTCGTCGGAGCTCATCTCGATGGGGAACATGTCCTCGTCCTCGGACGTGCCCGGGGTGTCGTCCCGCTTGAGGCTGTCCAGCTGGGCCTTCCGCCGCCGCTTCCGGCGCTGCTTCCCCAGGGAGCCGCTGGAGGGCGTCTCGCCGGGCGGGCCCCACGCCCGCTCCCCCGGGCCCCGCCTCAGCTGGCTCTCCATGCGGCAGGCGCCGTCCGACAGGATGGGCGAGGTGGCCAGGTGCGTGGGGATCACCTCCTGAGGACAGAGGGAGGGGCGGTTCGCACCGGCGGGCTCGATCCCGCGGCTTCGGGAGGGGCCGGAGCCCCCGGGTGAGCACGCCCGGGGCCTGGGGGTGCGGCTGCCGGGCCACGGGCGGGCCGGCATCCGCGTGGGCCTCACTGAGTGCCCTTTGGCACTGCATCCGCCTCTCCACCCTTACAGCCACGTGTGGCCGCGGGACTCAGCTCAGCGGAACTCTCCGGAGTGCAGAGGGACCAACAGGCTCTGAGTCACCACTCTGCCTGGAACTAGACTCAGTTCTGCATGTCAGTGTGGGCCAGGGTGTGTGTGTGTGTGTGTAAGAGAGCATGTGTGTGTGTGTAGGAGTGTGTGTTTAAGAGAGCATGTGTATAAGAGGGAATGTGTGTGTGTGTGAGAGAGTGTGTGTGTGAGAGAGAGCATGTGTGTATGCAAGAGCGTATGTGTAAGCATGTGTATGTGAGAGAGAGAGAGAGAAAGTGTGTGTGTGTGTGTGAGAGAGAGCGTGTGTGTGTGTGTGTGTGTGAGAGAGCATGTGTGTGTGTGTGTGTGTGTGTGTGTGTGAGAGAGCGTGTGTGTGTGTGTGTGTGTGTGTGTAAGAGAGCGTGTGTGTGTGTGTGTGTGTGTGTGTGTGTGTAAGAGAGCGTGTGTATGTGTGTGGGTGTGGGTGTGTGTGTAAGGAAGTGTCCCGGGTTCGATTACCGTCAAGGGCACGTAACTCGGTTGCAGGCTCTTCCGCGGCCCGGGCCCTGGTGAGGGCTCCTGCAGGAGGCAGCCAATCGATGTGTTTCTCTCACGTCCATGTTTCTGTCTATCTTTCCCTCTCTCTTCCCCTCCCTCTAAAGATCAATGGGAAAATAGCCTCAGGTGAGAATTCTAAAGAATAAGAATAAAATAAAGTAATGGCTCACTAGACAAAAATGCGGCCCCTCGGCCCTCTGCGTTTGGCAGCAGCACAATCTGTACGCTTCGGACCAGGGCTCAGGGCAGGCGATGGGGCTTCTCCGTCCCCCGGAAACGGTGAGCCAGCGGGAGCAGCCGGACTGCCGGGTCAGCAGGCACCAGCCCGTCCGGCCCGAACACCAGGACAGGGAGCGCCGCCTCCTCTGCTGCCAGCGTCCGAGCCGTCGCAGCCGGCAGCGTGCCCCGCCCGCACCCCGCGTCTCCTGCTGGCCCTGCCGTCCGAACCCCCGCCCAGAGCCCAGGAGCTGAGCCCACGGCTGGTTTATGCCAGCGGTCGGCAAACTCATGAGTCCACAGAGCCACATGAGTCCACGGAGCTGGGCAGTGACCTGACCCCAGCCCTCCTCACCTGATCGTTATCCGTCTCTTGAACAAAAAAGGCTTCTCCATTGTCTCCCAGCTTCATGTGTAAATCCACGGACTCCCCGTTGATCTCTATGTCCACCTGGAAGGAGAACACTCGTCTCCACGTCAGGGAGCCGGCCTCCCCCAGCCACGCCGCCACACGCATGCCCTGAACCGCACACATGCCACGGAGAGCCCACCGAGCCACGTCTCCCCCGTCAGCCTAGCCCCCCCCCCCCCCCCGCAGCCTGCCCCCCCCCGCCCTCCCCGCCTGCTCCTCCCCATCAGGACCCGCAGCCTGCCCCAGCCCCGCACCGCCCTCCCCGCCTGCTCCTCCCCATCGGACCCGCAGCCTGCCCCCCACCCCCCGCCCCACACTGCCCTCCCCGCCTGCTCCTCCCCATCGGACCCGCAGCCTGCCCCCCCCGCCCCGCCCTCCCCGCCTGCTCCTCCCCATCGGACCCGCAGCCGCCCCCCCCCCCCAGCCCCGCACCGCCCTCCCCGCCTGCTCCTCCCCATGGGGATCCACAGCCTGCCCCCCACCCCCCGCCCCACACTGCCCTCCCCGCCTGCTCCTCCCCATCGGACCCGCAGCCTGCCCCGCCCCGCACCGCCCTCCCCGCCTGCTCCTCCCCATCGGACCCGCAGCCTGCCCCGCCCCGCACCGCCCTCCCAGGAGCCCCGGCTCAGCGAGCAGCACACCACAGAGGTGGCGCTGGTGACTTCAGAGGCTGGGTCAGGGGAAAAGGCAGTGTCCACTGGCTGGCTCTCTCTCTCTCTCTCTCTCTCTCTCTCTGTCTCCCCCCCATGCTCACCGGCCACCATGTGGTGAGGACGCCCAGACCTCACGGAGGGGCCAACAGCCCCTGAGAGGCAGCTGTCATGTGAGTGACCTGTCTCCGGAGGTCCCAGCCCCGGCCTGGAGCCTTCCAGCTGAGGCCAGATGGCGACGGCAGACACAGCCGGCCCTGCCGGCCGAACTCCCGGCCAGAGCCCAGGCGCTGAGCCCACAGCTGGTTTATGCCAGTGGTCGGCAAACTCAGGAGTCCACAGAGCCAAATGCCAACAGGACGATTGACGTTTCTCTTGAGAGCCACATTTGTTAAACTTAAACTAATCCTAACGCCACGTCTTCAACACAGACTGGCCCAGGCCGTGCTGTTTTGTGGAAGAGCCGCACTCCAGGGGCCACAGAGCCACATGTGGCTCCAGAGCCGCCGTTTGCCGACCGCGGGCTTAAGCCCCTGAACCCCAGAGCAGTTCATGCCACTGCGGTCACCGGGACAGGCCGAGCTCGTCGCCAGCTCGGGGAACAGCCCGGCCCACGGGGAGACGGAAGTCTGGGCCCCGGACCAGCTCCGGACGGGAAGCCGCACGGGCCCGGGCCCGGCTCTCACCACTTTCTCTCGGGAGCGCAGCACCCCCATCTTGCCGAAGCGCACGTGGAAGGGGGAGCACTGCAGGCTCCCGTTGGGCTGCCGGACGACGATGATGTCGATGCATCCAGACAGGGTGGCGGGGTTCAGGCCCTTGTACAGCTCCTTCACGGTGACAAACACCTGGCCCGCCAGCTGCCCCACGTAATTCATGGTCTGAGCCTGGAAAACATGCACACACACACACACACACACACGCGCAGTTAACTCAGGGCGGCCGCTGCCCACACCCGCAGACCGTGGGCTCCGTGTCCGGCCTCGCTTCCTGCCGGCACCATCTTGTTTTCTGTTCCCTGGAATGGCCACCCACCTCCTCCCCCTCGGAAACCCCAGGAGGCCTCTGGGATACCCCCCTGGAGAAGCAGAGAGCCTGTTCCATCATTCTTTTTTTTTTTAATATATTTTTTATTGATTTTCTAGAGAGGAAGAGAGAGGGATAGAGTTAGAAACATCGATGAGAGAGAAACATATATCAGCTGCCTCTTGCACACCCCCTACTGGGGATGTGCCCGCAACCCAGATACATGCCCTTGACCGGAATCGAACCCGGGACCCTTGAGTCCGCAGATCGACGCTCTACCACTGAGCCACACCGGTTTAGGCTGTTCCAGCATTCTTAACCAACGGCATGCTCATGCCCCCACCCCAGCCTCTACCCCCAGGCGGCCTGGGCTGAGAATGTTTAAAGGGAGATACCACTGTCCCCCTCCTACGGGGATGGCTGCTCTCTGAAACGCAGGGGAAGCAGGCACTGGTGAGGACGTGGAGGAACGAGTCCTCGGGCCCCGTCGACGGGAATGCAAAACGGTGCAGCCACCAGGCGGCACAGGGTGCTGACTCCCCAAAAACTAAAACGAGAGCGGCCCTCCCATCCGGCCAGCCCCCTCTGGGCAGGTGTCCCCAAGAACGGACAGCGAGGCCTCGGAGCGCTCGCGGCACACCGTGCTCACAGCCACAGCATCCCCATCGCCAGGAGGCGGAGACCAGCCACGTGCCAATGACGGGCGGGCGGACCAGTGTCGTCTGAACACGCAATGGATTCTCTCTCCGCTGTCCCACGAGAGGGGACGCTGGCGCATGCTGACCGCGGTGGGCCCGGGGGGCGTGACGCCGAGTGGGAGAAGCCGGGCCCGGAGGGCGCACGCCGCGTGGTCTGTGCGGGAGGCGGCAGGAGAGGGGGGTAGGGAGACGGAAAGAGGAGCCGTGATGACCGGCCGAGGGGGCGGGGAAGGCGAGTCGGAGTTTCGTGGGGAACAGAGCTTCTTCCCGCGGGACGAGAGACGCCTGGGCCTGGCCTGAGGCCTGGCTGCGGCGTGAATGCACTGAGCTGGGCGTGTTTAAACGGCTAAGACAGTAAACGTGATGTTGTGTGTATTTCACCGCGATTTAAACAAAACTTAAGGGATGAGGAAGGAAACTGTTTTAAACAAGAACTCATTGGGACTATGATTTGGTCAAAAAATGTATTTGTGCCCTAACAGATGTGGCTCAGTGGACTGAAGGGTCCCGGGTTCGATTCCAGTCAAGGGCAGGTACCTTGGTTGCAGGCACATCCCCAGTAGGGGGAGTGCAGGAGGCAGTCAAGTCTATAACCCAAGCAGAAGCCCAGGGAATGTGGGGCGGGAGGGGGGGTGGCGTGGAGGAGGTATGGGGGAGGGGGGCAGGACGGGAGAACGGAGGAAACGATGTACAGATACTGGCACACCCTCCACCTCCAGAGCCATTAGACAGGTCTGGATGCGGGGGAAAGAGCTAGAACTTAACAACCAGAAGAGAGTAAGAAAAGGGGAAACATTCTCTGCACTGAACCTCGTCAAGACAATGCCCCCCCCCAAAAAAAAAAAAAAATCACTCCAAACGGGTTTAAATCAGAGTCTCCCGGGCACCTCGCCAGCAGCAGGCCACGCAGGCGAAGGGTAAGAGCCGGAAAAGCAGGAGGGGTGAGGCAGCAGCAGCTCCGGCCTGGTGACCGGCTCCCCCGCTGCCCTCGGCGGCCATTGCCCCCTGCCGCCCGCGCGACTGCGCACCGGGGTGCAGAGCCTCCTGGCCCGGCCTCCCGGCCCGGCCGTGGGGAAATGAGCACATCGGGGGGCTGGCAAACACCCCCCGAGTTCGGCAGCAGCACCGGGCAGAGATCCTGTCTGCCGGGAACCAGCGAGACACCGCTCGCTACACCCGAAGCCACGGTCCACCGTCACAGCCGTGGGGACCGCACGCCAGTCCCCACCCCTCCCCTCGGGGGTGCACCATTCCCCTTGTGTGCACCCCTCCATCGAGCAGCAGAGGTCACGTGGGGGTTCTTACGCCGCCGTTTGGCTTTCAGTGGACGGTTCTTCCTCCAGGGCACGCGTCTGCTCCCGGGCTCCCCCCCGCGGCCCACCCACAGCTCCCCTCCGCCTGCAGCTGGTCCTGGGGCCCGGGCGGACGTGGTGTGCCCGGGCCTAACACCCTACAGGGCGAGGCCAGCCCCCAGCCCAGCCCCTCGAGGACGGGGTGTGGCGCCACCACCCCTGGCTGCTCTCTGAGCACCTTCCAGCTTGTCTCTAGGTCTGGGGTCCAGATGTGAGTCTGACCAGCCCTGAGTAAACCACACACACACACACACACACACACACACACGCACGGCGTACACCTGCGCGGCCGTGACGTCAGCGCTGGGTCTCACCCGCCATTAAAGCACTAAAACACGTTCTAGGAAATGCCACCGTGACCCGGGGCGACCTGCCGAGAGGGAAACTGAAGGACAAACACGCTTCTTCCTCTTGTGGCTCCTGTTAACGGCAACGAGGAAGTCCGTGTCCCAGCCTGGATGTTATCAGCGGCGAGGGGACAGGTGACCGTTACCGCCCCGCGGAGGGACGGAGGGCGGAGCAGCGAGGCGGGGAGCCAACGCCAGCGGGGAGTCAGGGCGCCTGCCCTCAACCCTCGCCGGGCGGCACGCCGGGCGGCACCGCCGGGGGAAGCCACCCCCTCCTGTCCGTCAGCCACTGAGTTCAGCGTACCGCACTGAGGGGCGTCTTAAGCTAGACAGCGAAGCGGCCTTACCTCCTGGGTGCGGGCCCTGTGTTGGCTCGCCAGGGCTCTTCCGGAGACACACGTCCAAAATAAGAAAATTCACCACAAAAGTCCGCAGGTCAGACTGAGACCTTCTGACAAAAGTGACGCAGCAGCAAAACCGGGGGGCGCTGGAGGCCCCCACCGAAGTCCTGTCCGGCCTGGATCCCCACCTCAGTCCTGTCCGGCCTGGAGTCCCCACCTCAGTCCTGTCCGGCCTGGATCCCCCACCTCAGTCCCGTCCAGCCTGGATGGAGGCCCCACCGCAGTCCTGTCCGGCCTGGATTCCCCCACCTCAGTCCTGTCCGGGCCTGGAGTCCCCACCTCAGTCCTGTCCGGCCTGGATTCCCCCACCTCAGTCCTGTCCGGCCTGGATCCCCCACCTCAGTCCCGTCCAGCCTGGATGGAGGCCCCACCGCAGTCCCGTCCGGCCTGGATCCCCCACCTCAGTCCCGTCCAGCCTGGATGGAGGCCCCACCTAAGTCCTGTCCGGCCTGGATCCCCCCACCTCAGTCCTGTCCGGGCCTGAAGTCCCCACCCTAAGTCCTGTCCGGCCTGGATCCCCCACCTCAGTCCCGTCCAGCCTGGATGGAGGTCCCACCGCAGTCCCGTCCGGCCTGGATCCCCCACCTCAGTCCTGTCCGGCCTGGATTCCCCCACCTCAGTCCTGTCCGGCCTGGATCCCCCACCGCAGTCCTGTCCGGCCTGGATCCCCCCACCTCAGTCCCGTCCAGCCTGGATGGAGGCCCCACCGCAGTCCCGTCCGGCCTGGATCCCCCCACCTCAGTCCCATCCAGCCTGGATGGAGGCCCCACCGCAGTCCCGTCCGGCCTGGATCCCCCCACCTCAGTCCTGTCCAGGCCTGGATGGAGGCCCCACCGCAGTCCTGTCCGAATGAAGCAGGTCAGACGAAGCCGGCGCTCTGGCTCATCCCAGCTTCGCTTGGGGACCAGGAGGGGACGGCTGCTCCCGGCGGGGGGTCAGGCCGGAGGCCCAGTCACACGGCAGAAGTGGGCGCAGAACCAACGGCTCGCAGGGAGCAGACAGAGCGGGCCGGGCCGGGGTCCCGGCCAGGGCGGGAGCGCCCCGCGCTGAAGCCAATCAATACCACGACCTCTCAGGAGCCACCCCATCCCTGCGGCCCCAGGAGGGCGGGGCGGCGGACTGGGTCAGGGGTGGGTGATGGCGGTCTCGCCACTTCTCACCCAGTTGTTACTTCAGAAAAACATCAGCCTTTCGTCCCCAAATCGGCAGAACCCTCCTCCAAGGGCTTGTCCAGATTGCCAGGGAGCGCTGGCTTCTGGAACGCATGCCAACACTCAAAGCCGCGGCCACAGCTTTCGCAACCCGGCGGCTTCTGCCTGCACCGGCCTCTCAGCGGCAGCAGGGTCAGTTCAGGGCGGCCTCGGCCCCACCCACCAGAAAACGGGCAAACACAGAAGGAGCTCCGAGGGGAAGGCAGGGGAGAGGGAAGGAGCCCATCTGGGCGATGACAATGGGAAGACACTCAACGCTGCTCACAATTCAGCACGTGCAAAGCCAAGGGGGCCTTCCGGGGGCCCAGATTCAACGCGTTTTGGGAACCTCCAGGTTGGGAGTGCCAGGGGGGTGCGGCAGGGCAATAGCTGTCACTCGGCACCTACTAGCGCACCCCAGCAATCCTGCAAGAGCCGCATGCAGACAGTATTGGGGCACTGACCACGGCAGGGAAAGTCGGGGACAGCGCCAGCATCTCCAGGGCTCTGGTGCAGGGCGTCACGGACCGGCCACCCCGGGGAGGGGACACTAGGAGACTGTGTTTAAGAAAACGGAGAGGCAGCTCAGGAACCAACATGGAAAGGTACTGCTTGAGTGGGGTCGGGGGGAGTGACTGAGGGGGGAGTATGGAAGTACTTACAACATGAACCCCCTTGTTAAGAATTACACGTACTGCCGAAACCAGTTTAGCTCAGTGGATAGAGCATCGGCCTGCAGATTCAAGAGTCCCAGGTTTGATCCCGGTCAGGGGCATGGACCTTGGTTACAGGCACATCCCTAGTGGGGGTGTGCGGGAGGCAGCTGATCGATGTTTCTCTCTCATCGATATTTCTCACTATCACTCTCCCTTC